AACGGAGGTCATGCAATCGCTCGCGTGCGTGCGTGCGCGTGCTGTGTGTGTTCGTGTGTGTGTGTAGCCACCGCGCGATCGATAGCGCGTCGAGTCAGCGAGTGGCGAGTCAGCAGCAGCCACCAGTGAGCGGCGAGTCAGCAGCAGACGAGTCAGTCAGCAGCCGCCACCAGCGAGCCACATACATGTTACATGCTCGCGGAGGTATGCGCGAGCATGTAACATGTATGTGCTCGCTGGTGGCGGCTGCTGACTGACTCGTCTGCTGCTGACTCGCCGCTCACTGGTGGCTGCTGCTGACTCGCCACTCGCTGACTCGACGCGCTATCGATCGCGCCACCCGCTCGCTGACTCGACGCGCTATCGATCGCGCGGTGGCTACACACACACACGAACACACACACGCGAGCGATTGCATGACCTCCGTTTGCGCGGAGGTAATGACATGAGAAGACACAGCGCCACCTACCAGAACAGTGCTGCCACCAAACAGTCGTTTTGCGAGGAGTTTGCCTGCTTGTACTGCCACTGGAGTCAGTTCTGGTCTTCCATCCAATATGTCGCCGATGGCGTAGATGTGCGATACTGAGCTTTGGTCTGCATCGTTGCACACTATCTTTTTATTCCTGCGTAGAGGCAACAATGAACACACGACCACATCATAGAGACGAGCGATGATGACATTTGAGTTGCTGTTTTATCGTGACTAAAGTCAATTCAATGCTGCTACCAGAACATATATTCAACAGTCGCTGACACTTTGCCCACAGCTACAACTTGCCAAGTACATGAATTATGGATTTTTCATGGCTGGTTTGGAATCATGCCAAAGGCACCTAGGTAGTAGAGGACGGTAGTAGAAGAGGAGGAAATAGAAGAATGCATTCTAGATTTCGTGCACTGCATCAGCGTGGTACGATCACAATGAAACAAGTGCACGAACCTGCATCGATAAGGTGATTCTGATGTGATTATACCAATAAGCCGTTTTATTGTACAGCATGGAATTTGCGAGCATAAATGCATTAGCAGGCAGCACTCGTGGAAAGCTGTGTCGTGTTGCCTATGCGTGCGTACTCGTATGTGCAAAGATAGATCGATCGCTGATGGTAGTCTGTATCGGTGTGTCACCTATATACCCCGTATGTATATATATACACTCTGCTCCCAGTGCGAAGAATTTGCGCACGTTGCTAGAGATTGGCGAGAAGATGGAGCCGGGAGGGGGGGGAACCAAGCTGTAGTGGTTTGCAGCAGTCCCACGCAGCGTATTAGCCAGCGAGCCGTGCGGCCGTGATTCGCACGGTCAGTTTTGAAACTGCACGGCCAAAAATGTGTAGCACGGCCTAAAATATTGATCTAAAGCCTTGCCTGAGACACACATACAAAAAAATCGCACTCCCAAATATTTTTTCTGCAGTCCCACAATACTCGCCTCCCATGACGTATGACACGTGACGAGCAGGGTGAGCGCAGATCATGCGAGGCTGAGTGGACAAGAGAGCATGAAGCTCACTCATTAGAGATGGCACGAAGTAATACGATCGCTAGAACGAAAGGATTCGCACGCAGGATTAGCGTTCGTAAGAAGCCACACCCACAGAGAAGTAACCTGGAGCCAAGAGACAGCGGGTAACAAAAGCCAACAGAGTGCGACTAAAGCCCCGCGCACACGTGGCGATTTTTATCGGTAGTACTGGCGATAAAAACCACCGCGTGTGCGCCGGGCTTAATGTCAAAAAGACACGGGCGTTCCTGCCACATTTCAACAAGCTCATCCTCCTACTTTTTTCCCACACCATATTTGATCACGTGCTTCAAATCATGCAATTGATTAGTTAATCCAAAAACTGTTGCCTGAATCCGTCGCCAGTGCAGCGCACACGTGGCGATTGTTCAGCGACTCGGTAACAAGTGTCATGTTTGATATTCCATCGACGAGTTTCTGGCGTCAAAATCGCCATCGCCATGCAGCGCACACGTGGCGATCTCCTGGTGATTCCGTCGCCGGCAACAAAATCGCCAGTACTAGCGATAAAAATCGCCACGTGTGCGCGCCGGGTTTAAGGTGGAATCGGCTTGGGGCATCAAGAAAAGCAGAGAAATCTTAGCGCTAACAGTAGTCAAACAAACAGCCAGGTGTCGAGTTACCGTGCTGTGGGAAGCGAGTGCGTGCTACTTGTGTGGGAAGCGAGGCCACATTGCCCGAAACTTCAGGGTAGGTACTGCCCCCCCACCCCCACCCCCGTGATGTCAGCTACCATGATGACATGGCCGGGGGGGGGGGGCAAATAGACAAGATAACAGTGATTCCAGGCTGGTTATGTCGAATGAAGCCAAGCAAGGGGACAAGAGTGACAGAGAACGGGGAAGCAAAACGATGGCTCACTACTGTCAACCAAGGCTGTTTTGCGGCTGTGCGATATAGCTGTAAGATATATGACTGTGAGATGATAGAAATAACAGGTCGTTTGTCTGGAACCAATTATCACATGCAAACATGCAAATATTTGCGAAATCAATCGCCAACACGCGACATGCTCTCAGACTGACGAGCAGTGAGCACACTTAGCAGTGAGCACACTTAGCAGTGAACATACTTAGCTGTGAGCATACCTAGCAGTGAGCATACTTAGCAGTGAACATACTTAGCAGTGAGCATACTTAGCAGTGAGCATACTTAGCAGTGAGCATACTTAGCAGTGAGCATACTTAGCAGTGAGCATACTTAGCAGTGAGCACACTTAGCAGTGAGCATACTTAGCGGTGAGCACACTTAGCAGTGAGCATACTTAGCAGTGAGCATACTTAGCAGTGAGCATACTTAGCAGTGAGCACACTTAGCAGTGAGCACACTTAGCGGTGAGCATACTTAGCAGTGAGCACACTTAGCAGTGAGCATACTTAGCTGTGAGCACACTTAGCGGTGAGCACACTTAGCGGTGAGCACACTTAGCAGTGAGCATACTTAGCAGTGAGTACACTTAGCAGTGAGCACACTTAGCAGTGAGCATACTTAGCAGTGAGCATACTTAGCAGTGAGCATACTTAGCAGTGAGCATTCTTAGCAGTGAGCATTCTTAGCAGTGAGCATACTTAGCTGTGAGCACACTTAGCAGTGAGCATACTTAGCAGTGAGCACACTTAGCGGTGAGCATACTTAGCAGTGAGCATACTTAGCAGTGAGCATACTTAGCAGTGAGCATACTTAGGGTTCAGTTGAACATTCAGCTTCTCCAGTCCCAGCTCTGTCGTGCACGCGTCACGGCCAATCGCATAAAGCACCTGCGAACACAACGAACCAACGCGAATTACACACAAACACAACATCGCTAGCATGTCGACCTGGCAGATCATTGTTCCGACCTTATTGACTGGTGATGTCCGGACACTTGAGCGCTTAACAACGAGACGATACACATTTTCACACAACAATACACAAAAGAACTCGTATTGGATAGTCCAAATGTTGGATAGACCATTACATGCAGTGAAATCACAAAATGATTTAATTTTATCAAAAACGTTATCTTTTCAGATGTTCTGGTTAACAACAGAATCTAAACACATGTTCCGGTTAACAACAGAATCTAAACACGTTCTCTTTTCAGATATTCTGGTTAACAACAGAATCAGAATATGTGAACTAACGGTATTGTAGTCCCCGACGATATCTTCTCCATCCGTGGTCTTAGCGTGTACTCGGATCACTCCGGGTTGACCTTCCTCAATCTGCTCCAGCTGAAACAGTGATGATAAGCATTGCTATATCTGTACCGCTCTGCTGCATCAATGCAACCTGCGCTTGTTACGCGTTCATTGCGGCTCAACGATCTTATAGACGATTAATGAATTAAGTAATTAATGATCTTCTGTCTTTTCCGTGACTGCACCCTTTGAGCAGATCGATGAATGCTGTTAAATCACACATTGTAGTCCAGTTTCAGATCAAACGGAAAACGTGCCAATACAAGAATCATCCACACGCACTTCACAAAATGCTATTGTGCTGTGCTATCTACAATACATTGTACGTAACATAGCTAGTACTAAACGTAACAAATTTTCACGTTTACTGCGATTAACCATTGTAACACTAATTATACAGAGTATGAGCCACCCGGACCCAAGAATAAATGGTATAAAGACACTAAAAAAGGCTTATGCTTGCGCAACTGGAAAGAGTCACTGACAATCGACAAACAAAGAGTGCATACCTTTGTGGGAACAGCCCCACGAATGAACTTGACGCCGTGGTTTTCCATGTAAGCGCCGACTTTCTCTGCCATCTGCTGGTCAAAGCCACGCAGCAGAATCGATCGTACCATCACAGTGACATCCATGCCTACACACAGACACAGTGTGCATCATAACATGATTACTTCAGGCCCACTGCAAATCCTATTGTCCACTAGCAAATGTGTACTTACGGCTATTACTGGTGCACATCAGTAATTACACATCAGTAATTAAACAACAGTAATTTCCGCGCGTTTCCGAGAAGAGTACTCGTCCGCTTAATTGTGATGATCCCCGCTAGAGGGCGCACCTAGTCCAGCGAGGAATCCCGCACACTCCAGCGACACGTAGGAGGCTCCCACGCACAACGTCTTGCCGGGGCTGTACGGCAGCGAAAAGAGATCGTCACTGAAACACGCACGTCAGACACAGTGAGAGTAAGCAGGGGTAGAAATAAGAGAAAAAAAAGAGATGGTCGGACCGTCTAGTTCGAAATTTAGATGGTCCTCCTAAATTTTAGATGGTCCTCCTAAATTTCAAATTGTTCTCATTGTTACATCATGCTAAATATATGCTATGGTCAACACTGGATTTGCAATAAGCGAAACTTGGAAACTTCAAAGAAAATTACCGTAAAATGGGACCAAAATATTCAATGGTTTTCCATTGACTTTGAAAATCGGTGGGTCCTCCTGATTATTTGATAGCCCCCGGACCATCGGACCATCGCTTATTTCGACCCCTGGTGAGCGCTGCAAGCGGCGAGCGGCAACAACCAGATGCGAGGAAAGGGTTAATTGTTAGGGTCTACCTAATACATGGTATACATCAGGGTAAAAAATACACGGGAGCGATGAGCGATTCGCTCTTCAAACCTCCGAATCGCTCCCGTGAGGTTCAAAATAGCTCCCGTAAAATTATTGACGAGAGCTATTTCTTCCGCAGACTTGAAAAAGAGCTCCCGTGAAAAAAAAGTATTTTTTCCCCTGGTATACATGGACCAACCGGTCACCAGAGGTGTCCTGATCAGGAAAACGTCCTCATAGTAATTTGTGAATGAGTCCCGGCGAGTAGTGGAGACCACTTTTCAAATTAAAGCCAGTGTAATGCCGTGTTGCATGATCAATATTCAGACAATCCGATACGTTACTGAGATATGCACACACACGTGAGTGCACGTGTAACTATAGCTAGCACCTTGCTCCTTGCTCACTTCCCCGCATGAAATAGGAGAAAACGATCCCTGCTGAATGCTGCCATTGACCGAGCAACACGGCGGTGATGCGTTTAATTTCAAAACGATCCTATTCATGGCCATGCACGCAATATTTAATAATCTGCGTGACTAATGCAGTCGTGTGGATTACGGATAAAATCACGGCGTAATTGGTTCGATATATTCTCGGAGCCACCTGGGGGGCTTCTAACGATGCTTCCCTAGCATATCAAAGTAGGAGTTGCATAGACACGTCGACTTGCAGTTCTCGTAGGAACTGTAGGACGCTTCAACACAATTCCCCATAGGAGCCACGAGAAAACTTCAGTTGACACTGCATTACCACGTGCCCACACTCACCACTCTTTAGGAGCTGGCACACAATTCCCTACAGATGTAGAAACGCAGGCAACAGCGCAGCAACAGTGGATTGTATCAGAGAGGGAGGATGAAATAAGTCTAACTGGTGTCCATATTTATTGATGCGCTTTTATGTTTGTTTGTTTTCTCACAATGGTCCTGATTTAAACATTCACCGACTTATCAAGCTCAATCGCATGTTTGAACGTCTGTCTCTCCACTGAGGAAGCCCACAATTCTACAGCAGCCACAGCCGAACACAATCACGAAACAATCAACAGACAAACGCACTCAGTGGATTGTGGCTGCCACGCTTTCACCGTTCACCTAATGATCGAGCATTTCTTGACGAATCAACCGGCAGACAACCGCACTGTCTAGTTCTCAGCTGATTGCGCCTGCCACGCTTTCACCGCTCACCTAGTGATCGAGCATTCCTTGACAAAACAACAGACAGACACGCGCATTGTCTAGCTCTCAGCTGATTGCGCCTGCCACGCTTTCACCGCTCACCTAGTGATCGAGCATTCCTTGACAAAACAACAGACAGACACGCGCATTGTCTAGCTCTCAGCTGATTGCGCCTGACACGCTTTCACCGCTCACCTAGTGATCGAGCATTCCTTGACAAAACAACAGACAGACACGCGCATTGTCTAGCTCTCAGCTGATTGCGCCTGCCACGCTTTCACCGCTCACCTAGTGATCGAGCATTCCTTGACAAAACAACAGACAGACACGCGCATTGTCTAGCTCTCAGCTGATTGCGCCTGACACGCTTTCACCGCTCACCTAGTGATCGAGCATTCCTTGACAAAACAACAGACAGACACGCGCATTGTCTAGCTCTCAGCTGATTGCGCCTGCCACGCTTTCACCGCTCACCTAGTGATCGAGCATTCCTTGACGCCGGGGATGTTATCGTACCGCGGCCGCATTCCCATCGCTAGCACAAAGCGCTCGGCAGTAATGATCGTCTCCTTATTGCGCCGGCCGATCGCCTGCAAGTGTGCGGA